CCAACTGATGTTAAAGACAATAAATAAGTTGATGGAAGAAGCTAACTTCATCTTCAGATCTTGAGGGAGTTGAAAGTGGGGCTGCTTGATGGTTTAAGCGTTGAACATTGTACAACTCCATGGCCTTGTCGTAGTTCTCTGACCACCACCTTTGAGCTTGCCATTTTGACTGATTAAATTAACAAACGAATAGATTAGCACTCCAAGCAATCACAAGAAACTATAGAATGAAAAAGGAGCAAAAGCTGATAATTGCAGAGCTTGAAGTTTCAAAATCCTTGAAATGACAAGTGTGCCGAAAAGAGTAAACAATTGGCTCTTCAACTGATCTACAGAAGCTTAGTGCCTTGATAATTCCAGTTGAATCCATTAACAAAATAATCATGAACATCAGTTGATTTCAAAATGTTATCAAGAGGAACCAATTAATTAACTTGCAGAGTCATAGATGTTTAAGTTTCAAACTGATATATAAAAGCACAAATGCTCTTTGTGCAATACTGTCCAAATATATTTTTATACAGTAATTATCAAACTAAATATCCCATCAATTTACCAGCCAAATATGCATATAAAAGGTGGGTCTTCTCTTCAAAAAAAATCAAGGAACCATTGCAGAATTGGAATCATATGCTTTCATATATTGGTGGTAATGTCCTTCGGTCCAGTATAGCCAATATTTTCTAGTTGAAAAGGCAAGAGATTACATTATCTCAAAGTGCAATACGAGGTTAAAAATAAAAATAAAAAGTAGAGGAATGGAAAAATTAGTCTGACTTTTTCGCTTTCAGATTTCTAATAAGTATATAATCATCATTTCTACAAATTATGCAGGGTGATAAGTCAGGAAACAACCAGGAATTTGTAGTCATGTATGTTCAAAGTCTTCTGTCAATATTATAATGTGAACATAATGAGATAAAACTGAAAAATGAAAGAACTCAGATTCAAACCTTGGAGATAATTTTGAAAAAGAAAAATAGTTAAGTGACCAAAATTAAACCAATGGTGTTTTGGGGTGGGGTAGTCACAAACCTCAAAAAGTTAGTGCTTATGAACCATAAAACGGACATAAAGGATACCTATTCAAGGATGGGATGTAGATTGAGCTTATTTGTCCATGAGAAACCAATATATTGTCCTCACTATTGCATAACCACTAGCAATGCAAGAAAAGCTATAATGCCTAGTTGGTCAAGCCATAGAGAGAAACTCACATCTAGGGGCCAATTCAATGATGGGATATAGATTTTTCACTCACAAAGCCTCTCATGAAAATTGAGATAGAAAAACAAACATGAAGTGACAAAGGATAATGTCAAAATGTCTAGCTCCAATTACCACAATCAACATACTTACCACTTGCAATAAAAAACCAACGAACAGAAACCTCCAGTATCAACCAAAGAGCCAAGAATGGCAACCAAAGCACAAGGAGACAATTCCAAAGCAAAACAATATAAACACTTGAAAAGCAGATATTTGAAGCGTTTGAATCAAAGAGTAAATCACAAATATGGCTACCATTTCAAAACAAAAAATGTGATCACATCCAGACAAATCATAACCTTCACTATCATATATACCATTAGCAAAATAAAGTACCTGAATCGAATTAGTTTCAGGTCATTCCCTCCTTCAGACAATGAGAGGAAAGTGATTAAAACACCAGGCTCCACATGTACAACCCATTCTTTAGCTTCATCTTCCTCCATAAACACTACTGATTCTGTACGGCCACTAACTGATGTTGGGGTACCTTCTGCACTGGAAAGTCCCTTCAGTCTCGATTCCATCTCTTTGCCCCAATTTCGGGGAGTATATCTTCCAGTTCTTCGGTAAGGGCAATAGAAATGTTCTGAGTCAGAGGCAGCATCAGAGTCAGCATAGTTCCGGTTATGATTCGATGAACCAGAACACGGCTTGCAGTTCTTATAAGCTCTTGATGCTTTCAATGCAATGTCCTTGATCTGAAATTTATATAAAAGGAAATGCCCACTGTCACTAAAAGCCTTTTGTTATTGGAGAAAGAAAAGGTAGAAAACAAAAACAAATTCAGTGATTTTTCGCTTTTCCCCTTTTCTTCTGAAAACTAAAAAATTAGAAAGAAAAACAAACTCGATAAAGATTTAAAAAACAAACACGAGCATAACAATAAAGCCATAAAAAATGATTCACAACTTAATTTTGCAATTAAGAACAGCATCAAACCCATCAAAGTCGAATTATTCACAATCGCCCTTTTCCCGCGTTTTCTCGGGAAACAAACAGAAAAAGAATATAAGCAAATTAGTACATATATGTATATGCATATAGTGAGTAAAAAAAATACCTGAGAAGTGAGAGCTTTAACGGCTTGCCTAGTCCTAGGAGTTTCCAAAGTATCTTCATCCTGTTGACGACCAACAGATCCACCGTTGTTGTTTAGCTGCTTTGAACAAGTTACACACGTTAACATCTTTCCTTCTCTCAGTCTCCTAATCTCCTCTCCCCCAAATAACAAAAGCCTAGATCAAATTCGACAACCAAAATTACTAACAAATACAAAATGCATCTGTGAAGGAAAATAAAGCTTTTTATGGGGAATTTATGTAGTCAAGGGTTCCTTTAGAATCAAAAGGAATAGGTCGGCTGCTTGAATTATCATTGTGTGAATGGAAGAGTAAAAGGAAAGAGAATAATCAAGGGGAACCAGGCAGATTGACATATAATAATAATAATTATGAGAATTTTGGATATTAATTAACGAATCCAAAAACCAAAAAAGTGGCCGTTAAATGTCATGATTTTTTTGGTTGGAAATAGAAAAAAATTGATCTGTTTCCTCTGCTTCTGCCTTTGTTTTAGGGTAAACTACAAATTTACTCACTCAACTATCATTCTGGTTTTATTTTGCTAACTATTATTAAAAACTAACAAACTTTTTTTTATTTTTAACAATTATGATACTTGAAAATCACCATTAATTCTCTAATGGATGACCAAAATAAAAATGAAACCAAAAATGTAATGTTAGTGATTATTTTAAAAGAAATAATAGTTTGCTAACCAAAACATAACCCATATTTTAGTTTGATGACTAAATACGTTGTTTACCCTTTTATGAATAAGGCTATTGAGATTTGGGCTAATTTGTCGAGTTTTCTTTCTTTAACTTAAATTTAAATTATAACGAACCTTGAGGTCGTGGGATCGAGTCTTATGGAAGACATTTCATAATTTGGAGGTTTCCTACGGAAACTGCTCTCAACCTAGTATCGGGGGTAACCTACTATCTTACCTCTCCCTTATCCCATTACACATGGGAACAAGGGACAACCATTTTATTAATATTATTAGATTTCTTATTGGACTCAAATAATATTTCCCAAAATATGCTAATGTAAATACGAAGTTCCCAAAATTAGGCTCAAATTAACGTAATCTTGTATTATTTTACTTAACTGTGGATTGAGAAATATTTTTAAGATAATATACATATATAATTTTATTTAAAATAATATAAATAAAATTTTAGAATAAATAGAATTAATAAAATAATTAATTATCAAGAAAATTTTATATTACAATATATACACGTGTTCATTCTCATATAAGCATATATCCGCTATTGATTTTACTCGTATCATAAGTGAGACCTAAATCTAACTTGCTTATACCCAACGTTTGTACAAATAGTCGTTATATCTTATATTGTTTTTTAGAACATTTTAATTTCGAAGTTTAAATTTTTCATTAAAATAACTCATGATAGATAAAAACTGTTAGTTAACTAACGTTAAATCATATTACAGACGTAACATGTTCACGTATGTGATCAGTGGTTTGGGATACATGCTTCTCTGAGGTATGATCAGTGATGGTCCTTCCCACCGTTTCAAATTTTTAATTTTTTTCCTCCCATTTTTTTTTGCCAGGTTCTCTCCTCTTCATGGCATTTGTTCTTGATTTTAATAGAGGATCGATGAATTGATTTTTAAGAACTGAAGAGATTAGAACAAGGGTTGAACGAGATAAGGACATGTCGTCGGGTTCTTGGGTAGGTAAAGTATAAGATTTTCAGTTGAGGGGATGACGATCAACGTGTGGGAGGAGAGCGGCTGAAGGGTAGCTTAAGAAATTTTTTGATCTGGATTGACCCAATTTATTCTTAGTTTGAATTAGACCCGTTTAGCATAGGATTGGGCCCTGAGCTGAACCATATGAATTTGACGCTGACAAACTGGACTTACCCTCGAAAATTATTTTTAATTGTGACTTTGATTGGGTAGTTGTTAACCTGATTAACTTTAAATTTATTTAATGACGGGCTAATTTGAATAAGGTTATTTTTCTTCTACCGAGATGAATTCTGTTTGATTACTGATTATAATATTTTATTTTCTGTATGCAGTTTTATTAGAGGGGTTGCAAAGGTTGATTGTCTAATTATTCATAAATGGATTCTTTATTGGTTGTGAATGTTTTCTTTTGTGTGTGAATAGTACGCGGTGATTGTAGGGTAATATTTTTTTATTAATTAATTGACAACGCATATATACTTTGTTTGAACCCATGAATTTAAGGAGAATAAAATTAATTTTTTTTACGACCGAGACTATTTGATAGATTCGAAGATGTTATCTTTAAAATAATAAAATTTAGTAACACCGTATAATCATTCATAAAATGACTACGTAGGTAGAATTTTTTTTTATAAAACTATGTGATTATATTTAATTTTTAATTTGATTTGATTTAATTTTGAACCTAATCATGTGTCATTTGATGCATATGTGAGATGTAAAGAATCAAACTTTTGTGTTTTCATCTAGAAATGAAGGCAGGAGAAATGGAGTAAATGTTTGTTTTCATACCCAACAAAGTGTAATTGATGTTACTAAAACCAAACACAAATAAACACCAGAATCAGTATGTAACCTATGTCACTATTTGAGCTAAATTATTGTCTGATAAGACACAATGGAAGAAAAAGAATATAAGGAAAGAAAAGGCAGAAAATAAATGGCATTTAATCAATTTGCCTTGTCGCCTGCCTCCCATTTGTCCTCCATATGTGGAAAAATAAAATCCATGCTATTGCTGCTGCTGCTGCCTGAATTGAACATTGCATCAGCCATATCCGCCACTGCCGGAAACTCGACAACCTCCCTTCCATATCGGCTCCCCATGGAAGCTGCACCACCACCGGCTGCTGCTGATGCAACTGCATCGCCGCCACCTCTTCCACCTGGACTCGAACCCGAACCCAGACTAAACTCCATTGAGAGCCATGTTCCCAAAGGAGCTACTGATGAAGAAGAAGTCGGTGGAGGTAGGGTAGGCTGAGAAACCATAGCCATGGGATCTTGAATCAGCGGCGCAATGGAGGGGGCGGTGGAGGACATGTGACACGTGTGCTGACCAATGTAGGTTACTTCAAATGTGTGAAAATCATTGTCTAGACGCTGCACTTGCTTCTTTGCCGGGCAGTTATACAACTTTTGGTGTGTGCACCTGTAGTATGCCCTGAAAACCAACCCCTCATGTTTATCATTTTACCTACTTTTTCACCTTTTTTTTTTTAATTTTAATTTCAAATCTAGACATCATCAACTTGATTGTATGCATGCATCCGATGGGAGATGCAAGGATTTCTCAGGGTAGTACTTGCATACTTTAAAATTCAAATTTTTTTATATTAATTATTCATTTCATTTATAGTATATACCCTAAAATTTTATTTATATTCATCCTAAAATAATTTTTTATTAATTAATATATATACCCACCCTCAAAAATATTTTTAGATCATTCGTTACATACATAATACATGATCATCATCGCTCATTTAAAGGTGTGAACTATGAAACATCCGCCCACCACTTTATTATCTCTACATAGGTTAGTATATAAAATGGTGAATTCTTTTATCAAGATTCATATATAGAGCAGTCAACTATTTAATTTTATTTTCGTGGGAAAAGAAGTAAGCAGACAAATATTAAAAAATTTATGTAGGAGGAGACCGGGTCAAATTTTAAGCGACCTCTTGTGCCTGATAAAAGTTTTGAATCTTCAAGAAACTAATATGTTTAAACATGCATGCATATATATGCCATGATTTGAATTATAAATGCATAAATAATGAAGTTTTGAATGAATGAAATGATTGATTTACCTAGGGTACCTCGAACCCAGAATTTCTTTCTGTCCATATTTCCTCCAAGTGTAGTTGTCCTCCGGAGGAAGGTCGGTATTCCCCATCTGAGGAGCCGGCACTCTCATTCTACATTTCTCTTCATCATGCTTGCTGCTGCTGTATTACAAGTAATGAGCAAAATATCAATATGATACATGCATGTATGTACATATGTGTATATACATATATATATATATATATAATCTGGGAAATTAAGTTTCGAACCTTCTATGTGAACGTTGAGACGAGGACGAAGAACCTCCAGCGGAATCCGACACCTCCATGGCCTGGATTTCTGCCCCTATGCTAATGCTGGTTCTGCCAGATTGAATCATATCCATTGCCTGTGTAATGACGCCATAATTCAACAATTCCTGCAAACTGGGATCAGTCTGCTGCTGAGATGAACCCTGGTGAGGATGAGCATTGTTCAACATTTCTTTGGCACTGGCAAACGTGTTTATGATATCATCGCATGACTTTGAAAGTGTTTCGGGCTGGTTGGCTAAATCCCCGAGCCTTGCTTCAAGCTCTTTAGTCAATCTGCAGCCATGGAGGATTAGAGACAAGGCTTGTTGTACTGGATCCATGGGGTTCTTTTGCTTTGCTCTGGGATCGAAGTGGAACATAATTTAAGGGGAAGATTTAAGCTTGTGAAATGGGATTTAAATGTTGTCTGCTTTTTTGGTGTGTTTCTAAGCTGCTGCCGATGAGTGCTAATTTTTCAAAGTATTTAACGTTCCTTCTACACGGTATATTAAAAAGGGGAAAAAAGGAGTTTGAAAAACGACCGAGTCTAGCTCTGATTTGCCCCTTCAACCATCCTTGGCCCATTGGCAATGGGAGGGAGAGTCTTCACCTCCACCTTGCCTCGTTGAAACCACCTTTAAGACCTAGAAGAAGATCGACGAATTTTCTTTGGTTTGAAGCTTTGACCATTAATTGGGTCTTGAATGGGAAATTCGAGATATTTTCATCTTCTGGATTCCATGGACTTAAGACCGCTCCATTTTGTTACTAATTTCCTTCCTTTATTCTTTTTATACGGCAGAATATTTTTAATAATCATTTTTTATTAATTTAAGGTTATAACAGATAATAACTTCTTTTCTAAAATTCTTAATCATTTTACAATAAATACTCGAATACCCTACAATCTTCATTCGTACTCGAACACAAGATCTCTAATTTCAATAAAAAAAATTTAACTCTTAATTTTTATTAAAAAATTTCGGCTACTTTATTCTTATGAAAGTAATGACATCATCTAATTTGTCTTTTACTGTCACTTCATCAATAAAATAATAAAAATATAAAAAGAAAAACTATATATATTATCATTTGAATAAAGATAAATTATCTATTTTTAAAAGGTATAATGTTAAAGTTAACCTCTTAATATTTGTTCCAATGGTTATTCTGACTTTTTTTAGTTATTTTAGATTATAATATTTTAATTTTTATCAAAATGATCCATGTTAAATGAAAGTTATTTAATTCACTAACCAACGATGAATATAGGTCCAAGTCTAATTAGGTCATGACCAAAATGGGCAAATTATTTATGAGATCACCTATTTATTTTTTAGTTTTATTTTGATCACCCAACTAATATTTATTTTAAATCACACTTAATGTTACGTTTTGATTATGTTTTAGTCACTCGTATTTAAAAAAATTAACATTGATGTATCATTATAAGATAATGTCATGCCATGATTGAAAAATAATTAAAAAATATCATGTTAACATCATTGTTATTTATTTAATGATTAGTGATCAATATGTAACATCACAAACTACGGGTTAGTGACTAAATCGTAAATTTTCAGAATTTGGTGATAAAAGTAGAATAGTTAATTAGTTCAATGATTTATGTAGAGATATTTCCTGAAAGTTATTAGTAATTATCAAAGGAATTAAAGGGTAAAATGGTTATTTGACAAGAAAGATATTTCCCCCTTTTATAAGCATGAATCACGTTGAGGGGGGAGAGTTATCTGAAAACTCTCTTATTCTTCTTCTCCTCTCTTCTTCACGTGTGCCAAGCTAGAGCAAATGTGAGTTTTCTATTTAGTTGATTATTTGTTGATTTTATAGTTGGGTTTTGATCATTAGATGATAACTAAGCTTAAGGAAAGCTTAAGTTATCTTATAATCAAAAGATAAAGGAGTTAGGGAAGATTAAAGATTTTGAGTTCTTGAATGAAATCTTGGAATAGAGTTCATGTAACATCCCAAATCAGGGTCAGTGACTAAATTGTAAAATTTGAAAGTTTTATGCTCAATTTAGAAATAAATTAAAAGTCTTAGGAGTTAAGTAAAAAATTTTAATATTGGATTAAATAGCAAAGATGGATGAACTAAAGGGGCAAAATGGTCTTTTCATGGGCAAGATTTTTATCTTCCCTTTTTGAGTATTATAAAACGTGGGAAATATGAGAGAGTTCCAAACTTCTCTTCTTCATTCTCTTCTTTTCCACCGTGAAGCCATAAGCAAAGGTAAGATCTCTTGTTAGTTGATATTTAGTTGAATTTAGGATTTGGTTATGATTATTGGATGCTAATTAAGCTTAAGGAAAGCTTAAATCATCTTAAAAACAAAGGATGGTGGAATTAGGAGAGATTAAAGATTAAGAGTTTTTGAATGAAATTTTGGAATATAGTTCATTACTCAAATTGGAAGTTGAATTTGACTTGTCATCTATGAGAATAAGAAGCTAGAAGTGTTAGAATTAAGTTTAGGTAACATGGAAAAATTGGTATGATTCTTGAATGCTATGTGGAGGAGTGGATTTTTAAGTTAAAGAGATATTGAATGAAAATTTATTAGTTTAAGTATGTATATTTGAGTTAAGAATATTAAAGGAAGTGAAATAGGAAGTGTGGAACTTAAAATGAAGTGATTTTCGAGCTCAAAATGTGATTTATGGGCTAGGAGAATCGGTACCCATTCAAGGGGAACCGATACCCCCTCTAACGAACCATAATTTACAGAATATCGTGGGGGAACCGAAACCCCCACAGGAGGGAACCGATTCCCCCTAAAGGAAAGTTGTGAATATTGGTTTAATAGGTTCGTGTAAGTTGCTAGTATCCAATTACAAGGTGTAGGTATCTAATAATTGCCTTAAAATGTACATTTATGTAGATTCTAAGCGTAAAGCAATTCCGAAATATTTGGCAAGTAAGATTGATCAAGGAAAAGATAAGAGATCGATATTGACTAGTGAGGCCAGGTGAGTGCATATTATTATAATATACGTATTGAATATGGAAATTGGACTTGCGACAAGTCTGTTTCCAATATGATTGTATGAGTAGAAGTATGATTATGTTTGATATTGTGTGAATATGTTTTGTTCGTATTATATGTTATGTGGTATGAATTTATATGATATAAGTTATATGACAATGATTTATGTATTATAGGAAAATTGTTATATGAACATGTGATATAAGTTATAGGATCACAAATTATGTAAGGTAACCACGACTTATGTGTTAACAAGAGAAAGTGACATAAAATATGGAACAAGATATAAATTACCTGATTTAGATATAAGGGAATTGGTGGAATCAACTTAAGGGATTAAATAAAATGTGAGATAAGTTAAATAACATTGACCTATAGAACAATATGAGATTAATAGATATAGATATATATATATTAGAAGATATTGATAGAACTGGTTATAGGGATATGTAAGACCAATTATATGGTAAAGATCTATGAAGCTATAGGAAGATGTTATAGGAGCTTTTGATGATAATTTATTAGAAGACTTGCATATGCGATAAGTATGTGAAACTGAATTAGGTAAACATGTGTAAAGGTTATATAAATAATAGAAATATAAACGAGACAAGTAAGTAATGATATGATCAATTATGGGAAATTGTGCATTAGAGTTATAAGATTTATGGAGAATGGAGGAAAACTAGATAAGACTGAACTATAAAAGGAACTGAGAATAATATATCACTTAGGAGATTTGGATATAAAGTGATGATATGCACATAGAATATAAAATGCATGTTTATAAATATGACCATGAATGATGTGAATAGGAATAATTTAAGTACTATATAACTATGAGTATTTGAGTATGTATCTAGGTGATATGATGTATGAGGTCGTATGAAATATTATAAGACTCTGTGATTATATGAGAAACCAAATAGGTACAGGTGAATTATATGGAAATGAACTACGTGAATGGGTGTGATCTTATGAAAATTTATGACGAGCCATGTGAATGAACTATAAGATTATGTGTATATGTAATTATGAAAAGTCATAATAATAGAATGTAAGCAAGGTGTCAAGAAATGTAAAATGACACGAAAAGTTATATAAGCTACGTGATATGTGAAAGTGAACTATGTGTTATGTGAAATGATAAGTATAAAAGAAAATGCACATGTTATGTGTCTTGAGAGCTAGGGGTATAGTTGGCATGCTAAGAGTCGAGGGTCTACGCGGTCTTTCGGGATATAAATATAATCTTTGGAACATGTGTGAAGTCTTGTGAGACACATACTTGATCCCTAGTATATGTATATGATTCTTAAGGAATGATATGTGGTCCTTATGGACATTATTATATGGCACTACGGTGCAATTCTACGCAGCACTCCGGTACAATTCTACGTGGCACTTCGGTGTAATTATACGAGTTGTGGTGACAGCATTAATGCACAACCTCTATAGACTCACATATCTATGGTTCTCACATGTGTACATGGGCTAATAAATGAAATAATATAAAATAACCTTGCATGATAGTATGTGATTGGTTTGTAATCTTTATGGTGTGAAGTGATATATGTGATATGATGATGTGTATATAGCTTGGTTAAGAGGAATTGATGCAATAACATATGACAAAAAGATAAAGAACAAAAATAAGACTAATAAAGAGATAATAATAAATACCTTACATATGATTTACATATTTTGTGCTATGAAATCTGTTATAAGAATATGTGAATGATGTGTGTGTACAAGTGGATAGTGGTTGCATGACAGAATGTATGATTTTGTATGATATAATAAGTATAGATTATGAATGCATTAGTAGTGGTTATATGTTTTTATGACTCACTAAGTCATCGACTTAGCGTGTGAGTGTTTCACACGTAGGTTTCGGAAAGCTAGAAGAAAAGTGAAGAGGAGTAAGACCGGTCAGTTATTTCTTACCGAAGATCAGATAAGAAAAGATGTGTTGAATTAGATGTATTATGTATATTGAATATAGTTGGCATGTACTAATTGATTGAGTTAAACAAATAACTGTGACTTTAATGAAAGTTTTAAATTTTCTCGAGTTTTTGTCATGAGTCAAAGTTTGAAAAGTCAATGTGACACCTCGGACTCGTATCCGGGTCGGGTACGGGTTGGGGGTGTTATAGTTCATAATTAGAAGTGGAAGTCAAATTTGACTTGTCATAAGTGGAATTAAGAGATATGAAGTGATATAATTGAAATTAGAACATATTGAAAATTGGGGGTATGATTCTTGATTCTATACGGAGAAAGGAATTGTGAGGTTAAAGATGGTTTATATGGATATTATGTAATGGCAATTTGGTTTAATGACATGATAGGGGTTTAAAATAGAAGAAT